GGACGGAGAGAGGTGCCTGCAGCTGCTGTGCCTGTGCTTGCTGTGGGCCTTGAGGTCCAGCGCGCCACACCGCGCAGCGCAGCCCCCGACACTGCCTCGGCTGGGCTTGGGTGAAACTGTAAAGGATCCCCAGAATGGAGCCAGAAAACACCCTTGAGACTCCCAAAATGTAGCGATATTGCAACTGCAACGGAAATCCCTGCAGCAAGCATCCTGTGCAAGTAAAGCGGTTTAATTTCAATGGGGGCTTTGCACACGCCGGGAACGTGGAATTTAGGCACATGAGCGCCGTGCAGGGGACTCCCTGCGCAGAGCCAAGAAATCCCCATTTGCGACCCTCTGTTGTGCCTCCGAAGCCCTGAGGCCCCCACAAGCACGGCCGCCGCGGCTGCCGCTGCCACTGCCACTACTGCGAGAGCCGCCGCCACCGCCGCCACCCCTGCCGCTGCCTCTGGCATTGCCAGCCACGCCCACCGCCGCCGCTGCCGCTGCTGCGCGACCAGAGAGAGAGAGAGAGAGATAGAGAGAGAGAGAGAGAGAGAGAGAGCGAGAGCGCGAGAAGTAGAGAGGGAGAAAGAGAGAGAGAGAGAGAGAGAGAGAGAGAGAGAGAGAGAGAGAAAAAGAGAGAGAGGAACCCGAGTGGCCAATCGCCCAGGATAGCCTCCAGACGGCAGCAGACAGAAAGAGAGAGAGAGAGAGAGAGAGAGCGAGAGAGAGAGAGCCAGAGCCAGAGCCAGAGACGGAGACAGAGACAGAGACAGAGCGAAAGAGAGAGAGAGGGAGACTGTTTCTTTCTTGAAGTAGCGAGCAAAATGTGGTGGTCCAGCCGGGCTTGCGAGACCACGCCCGCCTTCGTTTTCTTTGTCTGTTTCTTCTTCTTCCTCCTCTTCTTCTTGACTCCTCCTTCTGCCCTCAGTTCCCTCTTTGACTTTTTTCCATCAACTCTGTTCCACCCCTCTTTCCTCACGTCTGTTCCCCCCTCCCTCCTTCTTCATCGTTCGCCCATCCCCGTCACCCTCATTCACCTTTGGTCTTTGCCACTCTCTCTCTTCTTCCTTCTCTTCCTATTCCCTCCTTTCATCCTCCGTCCTTCGGTGTTATTATTACTTGTCTGTTTCTTTGTCTTATTATTCTTCTTTTTCTTTTTCTTACCTACCCTCAGCTCCCCCCTGTGCCGTCCTTCGTTCATACTTCGACGTGTGTCCATCCACTCTGTTCAAACCCTCCCTCCTCACGTCTGGTTCCCCCTCCCTCCTTCATCATTCGTTCATCTCTGTCTCCCTCCTTCACCCTTCGTCATTCCTACCCTCTCTCTTCGTCCTTTTCTTCCTCCTTCATCGCTCGTACCTCTACCCTTCCACTACCCACTCCGTACTCCCTCCTCTCTCATCGTTCGTCCATCCCCGTCTCCCTCGTTCATCCTTCGCCTTTCCCACCCCCTCTATTCTTCCTTCCCTTCCTCCCTCATTTCTCATACTTCTACCCTCCCACTGCCAACTCCCTACTCCCTCCTCATCGTTCGTCCATCCCCTTCTCCCTCGTTCATCCTTCGTCTTTCCCACCCTCTCTATTATTCCTTCCCTTCCTCCTTCATCGCTCATACCTCTACCCTCCCACGACCTCCAAGAGGCCCTCGAAGAACTCGCGGTCCCCCAGCGCTGAAAAGCATCGGGTTGGCGCAAGGCCACCTGTTTGTTTACCAGCATTGGAGAGGCGGTGAGTCCGTCGAGAGTACGTTTATGAAGTGCTGGCGCAATCTTTACTATACCATTGTGTTCGGGATTTGGAGTCAGCATTGGAGGGTGCCCTGTTAGAGATGTCGCAGGTGTCAGCATTTGGGGGGGGGCGCCCAGTAACGGCATCGATCGCAGGGGTAGGCATTCAGATAGGGGCGTCAGTTAAGTCCGATTGCTCACTGGTTCACATTCACATTGGTAGCCGATGCGATTGCGACCCATTTGATCGTCAAGCCCAGTTGATTCACATTCACATTGGCAGCAGGAGCGGTTGCGATCTATTGCAACGAGTGGTTCAAGTATTCACATTGGTAACCGGGGCGGCTGCGATTGCGACCCGTTTGATCGTTAAACCCAGTTTATTCACATTCACATTGGTAGCAAGAGTCGTTGCGATCTATTGCAACGAATGGTTCGCCTTCGCACTGGTAGCAGGAAAGCTTGCGACATATCGGGCGTCGCCATCTTGAGGGCACCGCTTGTGTGAAGTTAATTTTGGCGGGGGTGGTATTCTTCGATTCGAAGAATCGGTTGTGATACCGAGAGATGTTGCTATACGTAGGTAGGTGTACAGCATATTTAACCATATATTCCTTGTTTTTCCTATCCAAAGGTAAGGACCCCCCCTCGGATGGGCGTCACCTAATTCGGCACCCTTCGATGAGGTCCAGACGACCTCGGGACAGCTCCGAGACTACCCGAAAATACAGCCAGGACGGGTCACGACAGGCGAGAGGGCGCCAAGAGCGCGCCAAGAGAGCCCAGGACCGCCCAGAGGCGTTCCAATACGATTTATGATGGCATCGAAGCGGTCCAAGAGGGCCCCAAGACAGCCCTAGAGGCCCTCCAGATGACTTTCAAGAGGGCTTCACGAGGCCACACACATTGTTTTTCCATCAACTTTGATTGCTTTCACGGCTCTCACTTTGGCCAGGTTTTCCCATGGCCCAGACGATCCAAGACGCATAAAAAACCCAGAAGACAGTCGACAAACCGCCATGAGGGCCCCAAGACGGCTTAAGAGGGCCCTTAGACGGCCCAAGAGGGCCACAAGATGGGCCGACAGGGTCCCACGAGGCGCCCAACAAGCCCTGAGAGGGCCCGAAGAAACCCCCACGGGTGCCCAAGGTGGCTCCGAGATGGGCCCAAGAAGGCGTCAACGCGGCCAAAGCCACCCAAGACGAGGACAAGAGGGCCCCGGGAACAGCTCAAGAAGGCTCCCAAACAGCCCAAAAGGGCCCCAAGAGGAACCTCCATATGCTTGGAGAGGCGACACTGGTTCATTTCGCATAGACGGCGTGACAGACTGTTACACCAGAGCACCTCAGCTCGGACGGTTTTGTGATTCCTCGGGCCCCGCGACTGCGAGCTCTGCCGCTCCAAGCTTCCGCCGATGCTCCGCAGGCTTCAGATAGCGGGTCATCTTGCTCTGCACCCCTGGACATGCTCCTTCCTCACGAGGAACCCACACCCACGAAGGCCCCGCGGCGCCGTCCTCCCTGGAGGGTGCCAGACGCCCCCCATTCGGCCCTGGAGCAAACAAAAAAAAAGCAGCCGTTGACGTGAACCAGAGAGTGGTCCGCCCCTCTTGAGTGGCTCTTCGCTTCCAGATCTGTTTACTCCTTACACAAACCTAGGCCGATTCGGACCCCGCGGCGCAAGCCGCCCAAAGCGCCCACCGTCCCCGATCCCAGCCCCTGGACCCAAGAAATAGCCTGTCGACGTGAAGCAAAAGTTGATGCGGCCCCTTGGTGGCCCGGCGCTCCCAGGACGACCAGCAGCACGACCATTAGCACGACTGCGAGCACGACCACCAGCACGACCACCAGCACGACCACCCGCCAGCACCATCACCAGCACGACCACCAGCATGACCAGCAGCACGACTACCATCACAACCACCGCGCGACTTCCAGCACGAACACAAGCACGACCACGAGCACGACCACCAGCGCAACTACAAATTGTGACACTTGATGTGTGCCATGCGCAAGCCATTCGTAATATACCCCCTGAAATCACAACAGATCCACCCACCACCACAAAACGCGAAGTGCACGACACGCGTGACACCATACCCCACCCTAGAACCATCAAGTTCACGAGCACACCACGTCCGGTCGTTCATATACCGTGGTGGGATGCGATATCCGCGCTTCAGCGCAAAGGATGAGGCCGAGGGACAAGCTGTTGTGGCGAAGCGAAGCGAACCAACAATATCTGTTTTGTTTATACTCAGATATCTGAAGTATTGGCATCGTTCGAAGTCGATAGATCGCAAATCCGATCCGACGCCCATCGGAAACGGAACGTTGCACCCATTCCCCCACACATCTTTTTCACCCGACCGGCGGTGTTGTAGGTATTGTTGTCAGTCGGCATTCGGCGCACGCGTACATGTATCGGGGTGGCCCTGAGGCAATACCTGAATTGTTTTCGCAATGCGTTTGCATTGCATTGCTCTTGCGTTGATTTCGCATTGCATTTGCATTCATGTTGCAGTGCGTTGGCCCTCATCCTTCTCCCCAATTGAGAACGAGGCGTGGTCGCAGTGCCTACACCCAACCCCTCCCCTGGCCCACCCCCTCCCCCTCTCCCCCTTGCATATCTACGTGTGGAATCCCCTGAGCGGGTTGTCGTTCCAGTGCGTTTCTTCTTCTTCGTATTGTTGTTGTTATTATTATGATTTTATCGAGCTGGTAGCACCATTCGCTCTAACGGCATCCCCGTTTAAGCTTCTCATCGCCAGCGCACTCTCCCTTTGCCTAGCTGCCGACGCAAAAAAAACATGTGATCGAGCTGGGGCGTTCCCCGGCAGCCCATACCGAGAACAGAGCGGCTTCCAACACACACACACACAAACACACACACACACACACATACGCATGTTTGAAATCGATCGCGTGCGTTCCAGAAGCCCACGGCGTGCGCTCCGAGCACTTGAAACTTTTATCGAACTAGCACTGAATCGGGCATGCCCCTCTACAGGAGGAACATTCAAAAATAGTGAACAAATAGTTTGGGTACGATGTTTTAAACTGTTCTTGCTATTTTGGCTTTGGATATTTTTTTGTTTTCTCGAACATCCGCCTGTAGGAGGACATGCCCGACCTAAAACTAGCGCAAGCTTGCCCACCCAGTTGAATACTCCCATACAAAGGTATCCCACGAATCGTAGAGAGCTCCACAGGGGGCTCATCGGGTGCTTTGTGATGCCTGCTTTGAGGCCGTTTTGAGACCTCTGCGAGTCTTTGGCTGTTTCCTGGTGTCTCCTGGCATCCTGCAGCCGTCTTGGGGCGGGCTCGGGCCATGCCGGGAGGAGTCGTCCCAGGAGAATGACGTGGGTCCTGCCAGACAATTGTTCGAGCGTGTGAGGGTATGCCAAATGCGCCCACCTAACAACTTCACCCTTCGGCGACGGACCGGCAAGGGACGTAATCATTTGGGCCCTGGCCGGCGGCGGAATCCGCCTCGGGGCGATGGCGGGCCAGTATGGGCTGCCCGGGATGTCAGGGCAGTATGGGCTGGCAGGGCAGAGGTTCCCCTTGAGCTTCGTGTCCCCCCTGGACGATGTGGAACCCGAGCTCGTCCCGGGCGACGTGACCCTCACGGTGCAGTGCCAGTGCGAGCAGTGCTCGTTCAAGGTCGCGTTGTCCGTGTCACGCGAGGTGGTGCCAGAAGTCCTTCGTTGCTACTGCAGGGCATGTCGCAAGTACCACGCTAGCGCTTTTGCCTCGTATCTACGAGTGTCCAGACAGGCGTGTGACGTCGGCGACGACTGGACCTTTGGCGAGTGTGCCCGAAGGAGTCGTGGCACTTGCCTGGCGCTCGGGACCGTGGAGCGAATATTTTGCCAGCGCTGTTTTTCCAAGATAGCCACCATCCCCCGCCACGGCCCGCAGCAGGATGACATCCTGGTGTCCCTCGGGTGTGTGCAGGACGCGTCCGTGCCCGAATTCCTGGCGAAGTGGTGGCAGCGCCATTTCACTGAGGTAGACCCTGGCGCACAGGCGCCCTGGTGGGGCGTCGTGTCCAGCCCAGCCGATCCAGACGAGGGCGCGGACTGCGCCATAGTGGCGGAGGGGGGTTGCTGCTGTGGCAGCTGCGTCTTCTCCGCGGCGTTCGACCCAGGCTTCTTCCTGCAGCATTGCTACTGTGGCCTTTGCCGTCACCTCTCCGGGTCAGCTTGCCAGACGTGGGTGCCTTGCCGTAAGAACGACATCTGCTGGTTGCAGGAGGCAAGCAAGGTCGTGAACCGATTCAGCAGCCATGCGCAGCGGCACCTGTGCGAGCGGTGTGGTGGCGTCCTGGCCATTGTCTATGACGCGGAGCCAGACCACATGTGGATGGCAGCGGGCACGCTGAACGATAGCGACTTCGTCGAGGACTTCGCGGCGCATGGGTGCACCGTGGTCCACATCTGCTGCACGATGATGCAGAGCTGGTACCGCCTGCCCCTGGACGGCCAGCGGAGGCTGAGATACGCGTCGTGAGCAAGCGCACGGCAATGTCACAGCCAATGGGCGAGTTATTTGTTTTCGTTTCTCGCTGCACCGCTGGCCATCCAAGGCGGATTCCTTCTCACCCCTTTAGCCGCACCTTGCGCTGCCCCCACTGAACCTCAGGCTCGCTCAATGCTGTCAGCTCACGGAGACCTTGCAGGCTGCCTTGGATGTGCGCGTCTCTTTCACAACATGTCTCTTCAAGGCGTGCTAGCTGCCGAAGACCTGGCAACACCGAGCCAGACTCACTCGAGTACCCTTCTTGCGACTGCCAGTGCAACCCCTCCCGGCTTGCCCCCGACCCTTCCTTCTCCGCCGCCCACAAGACAGGGCCAATTTCGATCCCATCGATCCGCATCGATGCCGAGCTCACCCGGAACGATCCGGTTCGACTTCGATGCCGCGGCGTTCCGACGCGGCCCGATGCTTGCGCAGCGTACTTGGCTGCGCACCTGGGCGCGGCCGACCCGACTCGATCTCGAGTCCGTGCCGACGCGGCCCGATCCGACGCACGCTCCGATCCTGTCCGGCTTCCCCATTCGGAGCTGACGGCCCCCCAGGGGAGGTCCTGAGATCCTGGCGGCTCAATGCTTTTCGAGCCGGGCGTTTCGCATAATTTCGGGCCCCGGGGCCCTCACATATCGATCCGGCTCGAAAAACGGCGCAGAAAGATGGGGTCTGGGTCACCAGGCTCGATTTTTCACGGCGACTAGATTTTTCTGAAAAGTCGGACCTCAGGGGAAGGCGTCGATTGGATTGGTGGTCTTCGCGAAGCCCTACTGGACGACCTCGTTGAGGGCGCCGAGCGCTTCTCGAAGTTGGCTGGAGGAGGGCCCTGTCAGGGAGAGCCATCCTAGCCCACATCAGCGAGGCCCCCTTGGCGAGTTCGCCTCGGGAAGAGACTCAGTCATCCTTGTGCAGTCAAGACGCTGTTATGAAGACAACTTTGAGTTCGAGAGGAACTGTGGTTTCGGGCCATTCCTCAGATCCAGGTGCCGCGAACTATTCGTGGCCGAGGCTCGCCGTGTCTCGAAAAGCTCTTTCGTTCCTTATCTAGTGTTCTACTGGGTAGCACGATGACTGTACCGCGTTCGAGAATGCTCGTCCAGGCGATTTTGCCAATGGGCCCAGGGCCTCCCAGACCTCCAAAAGTCCTCGGCACTGGGGAAAAGAAGTTGGAACGGAGGAAGGAAACCTCCAGCATGGAGGCCGGAAAACCTTTTCGAACGTCCGGGAGGGAGCCCATGGGTCCCTATTTCGTCTGCTCCTTCGCCGCCCCCTTCCCCTGCCCGTCAGGCAACCCCGAGAATCCCTTTGGAAATGTTTACCGTTCACCCTCCCCTCAAGAGCATCCCCCTTCCTCAGGCCCTTCCTCCTCCTCCTCCTCCTCCTCCTCCTCCTCCTCCTCCTCCTCCTCCTCGTCGTCGTCGTCGTCGTCGTCGTCGTCGCACCCTGCAAGGAGTCCAAGCAGTGGTGTACGCGGCTAAGCCGTGGCTCTGCGGGATCCGGCGGTGACACAGGGTGTCTGCCGCATCTTCGTGATGAACAAGCGAGCGCAAAGTACATCACAATCGAAAAACATGTCGGACGGAAATACACCATCCGCCCCCTCAAGCAACGACCGTGACGCTGCAGGTTAGTCGCTGGAGGCGGCTTTGTGCCAGCCAAGCGAAATTTGAACGGATGGGAACGACGAGAAAGCAGCAATCAGGAGGGGGCGAGCAGAGACAGCAGCAAGAAGAGAGAGAGAGAGAGAGAAAACGAGAGGACAGGGACAGGGACAAGCAGCGGCAGCAGCAGCAGCAGCAGCAGCGGAGAGCACCGAGAAATACGCAACCAGAGGACAACGAGAACCGACACTACAGGATTTGTCCTGGCCCTGCCCCATGCTTTTGCTTTTGCCTTCGTGCCGATACAAGAGCTCCTGCGCGCGCGGCTCCAAGCTTCCGTTTGGGGCCTGGCTGGTCAGGTGCGGATGCCCTGGAATTTTCATGGTTGCCATGGCTTTCAGCTATACCTTATGATACTTCGGGACCAGCCGGACGTAGAGCTTAGCATGCTTCAGTTCAAAGCAGCCCTCAGCTTCGCGCAGAGAATGTGTGTCTGAGGCTCCTCTGGGCACACACGAGGGTGATACTGGCAAGTTGGTTGAACACGCCTTTGCTCGCAGCATGTGCTGCCGGCCAGATTTCCATCACGAGCTTCATGAAAGCCAGAGGTTTTGGAACACCTTCGCCGTTATCAGACTGGCCACAGGTGCGATCAGCACCACTCCCGATCTCTGCGCTCGTCCTCGTGTAAGTGGCGGTGCCGATGGGGGATCTTGACGCACAGGAGAGCGATTGCGAGCACAGCGCGCAGCTCTTGAGCATTCTTCAGGCATGATTCGGCAGGATGCTTCACCAACCTTTGAAGCTTCGTGGCCGGATCCGCCCTCAAATGCGGCGGCTCTATGGCTAGCTCTCGGCGCGCTGCCCGCCCTTCCGAGTCTTTTCACTTCGGCCTCCCGCGCTTCCCCGGTCGAGGAGCACCATCCACGTCGCAGGCATCACAAAAGTAGGCAACGGATGCGAACCATGATGCGCAGCTTGGTAACATATAGATATATACATATGGAGGACAGCATAACAAAAAAATCCAGATCGATGAGAAGCTAGGTCAAGTGCACCTCGTCCAAATGCCACTCGAGGGTCTCGAATCGGGATCGACACGATCAGGATGGCAAATCATGCCGGTAGTGGACGCTCGACCACGAGGGTTGGGCAAAACAAGTTCCTTTTTCAAGGTCTGGTCTGCAGCACGGCGTGCTGCGTGATATTGCGCCTGCAGATTAGAGGAGAAAACTGTTCTGCACGAAGGGCAACGATTGCTCGCAGTACAGCGATACTCCAGGGTGCCGCAGAGACCATGCATTACACCGTGTGCTTGATGCCACGTGCGATACCCAGCCCCACACACGACTCTATCGACCTCCAAATCACAGACGAACGACTCGTGCTTCGGCTCTTCCACCGCCCCATCCGCTGACCTACCACCAGGATCTTCTCCGCCACCACTGCCACCGCCGCCGCCGCCGCCGAGAGGAGGGCAAAGACCAGGAGGAGGAGGAGGAGGAGAAGGAGGAGGAGGAGGAGGAGGAGGAGGAGGGGGAGGAGAAGGAGGAGGAGGAGGAGGAGGAAGAGGAGGAGCAGGAGGAGGAGGAGGAGGAGTGGCGGAATGGCAACACACTTCCATTGTGACTTGATGATCCCCCCCCCCACCCACATGAGCTCTTCCCAGCACTCACCATTCGTGAACAGCAGTAGCGGCCGTGAGGCAGCATCGTTAATCGCCCCACTGTCCAAGAGATCGCCCAGAGCTTCCAGATCTGAGCAAAGATGATGAATCACGATGAATCCAAGGGTGCGCTCTGGAGTTGACCGTGCCGTCGGGTGGCACGGAAGTGCGGCCTGGGTCGAAACGGAGCTCGCCGGAGACGATGGCCAGGTGATCGTTGTTTCATTTATTTTTTTGCCGATCGGCGCGGGCCCCCAAACCCCGCCCCCCCCCCACGGAGTAGATCTTGGTTGTTTTTGGCGCCTGTTTCGAGCAGGTGGAGTCTCCCCCATAGGACGCACGGTCCCAATCAGTCGTACAGAGCAGAGGTCCAAGGCCAGACCCCCCCCCCTTTCCGCCCAATGTCGAAACGCCGAATCAAAAAAGCGTTCACCAGCAGCGGCTCAGCATTCTTGAGGAAGCCGAGCGGTTGTCTGTCATCATCGAAGACGCGCCTGCTTCAAGGCAACGGACCTTGCAAACAAAAAGCCAGAAGGTCTGGCACACAACATCAATGGTCCAGCACGTTCGCACCACTCTTCTATCAGCCGTCCTATGAGCAGAGAGAGCTGCCACGCGGAGGGCTGCACGAGTCATGTTGGCCCGATCAGCATCCAAAGCATTTCAGCTTGCTGGGGAAACGGCCCAAGCTGAGCAAGCGCTCGTAACACTATGCTTGTCCAGCGCATGCACATGTTGCGGGCGAAGACGCGAGTCATAAGGTGGCCAGAGCTTTATGCAGTCCTCCTCCTCCTCCTCCTCCTCCTCCTCCTCCTTGCCGAGGAAGAGGAAGAGTAGGAGGAGGAGGAGGAGGAGGAGGAGGAGGAGGAGGAGGTGGAGGAGACGCGCTTCAGGGGCTAGACCCCTTCAGGCGCGGGAAACAGCGGAAACAGTGGAGGAGGAGGATGAGGAGGAGGAGGAGGAGGAGGAGGAGGAGGCCGCAGCCTCCATTCCCGAGGGATCGGCGCCGACCAGATGTCCCTGCTTGCACCGATGCGCGCTCTCGAATCTCCTCCTCGTGGCGTGCTCGGGCCTGGGGCTCCTCAGCCCGCCGCGCGCGCCTCAGCCTCGACCTCTCTCGAGGCTGGGCGCGCGAGCGGCCCAGCTCTGCGCGCGCGGGTCCAGCCAGCACACGGGGAGTTCCTGGCGATGGCAGACGCCCCACCAAAAGCGGGCTCAGAGCATGGGAGGCCGCGCTCAAGGCGCGAAGGTCCGCGAGTCGTTTGCCCGAGTGGCTGTCTGTGCCCGTCCAAGGCCCGCCCACCGTCGAAGAGGATGGAATTCGGAGGACTTTGAGGAGGCTGGGATTCGCTCCGGCGTGTTCTAGGGTGGAGGATGGGATGATGACCACGATGATTATGCTGCTGATGATGCTTCTGCTGATGATGGTGATGATGATGCTGATGCTGATGCTGATGCTGATGCTGATGATGATGATGATGATGATGATGATGATGATGATGATGATGATGATGATGATGATGATGATGATGATGATGATGATGATGATGATGATGATGATGATGATGATGATGATGATGATGATGATGGTGATGATGATGATGATGATGATGATGATGATGGTGGTGGTGGTGGTGGTGGTGGTGGTGATGATGATGATGATGATAATGATGATGATGGCGACCATGATGACGACCATGAGGATGATGAGGATTGGGAGGAAGAGGAGGGCGAGGAGGAGCAGGAAGAGGAGGAGGACGATCCCGACCAAGGTCCCCCCCTGCCCCAGCACGGCAGGTTCGCGCCGTGCCCTCTCGGCGGAGGCCCCTGCGCGGGCGCCCAAGGCGGAACGCTGGCGGCGGCCCAGCATCGGCCGACGTCGCAGGATCCTCCTCCCTCTTCCCTCCTCCTCCTCCTCCTCCTCCTCCTCCTCTCTGCTCCTCCTCCCTCCCCCTCCTCCTCCTCCTTCCCTTCCTCCTCCTCCTCCTCCTCCTCCTCCTCCTCCTCCTCCTCCCCTTCCTCCTCCTCCTCCTCCTCCTCCTCCTCCTCCTCCTCCTCCTCCTCAGAACGCCGCCAGCGGCCCAGAATCGGCCCTCGGCGCGAGCCTGCCGCAAAAGGCTGCCCCCCATTGCCCCGGCCCCCCTGCGCTCGCCGACGGCACAGCCACACTGGCACGAAGATCCTAAACACACGGTGCTCCGTGTTCGGCACGGCACGGCACGCAGAGTCTCCGCACGCTGGAAGCCAGGCACGGCACGGCACGGCGACTTGTGCGCACCCTGAGACTCAGTATTTCGCACGTTTATGTATTGCGAAGGCCCTACGGCCAGAGCCGCCGACCTTGAAGGCGGGACCTCCCGCGGGACCCCCTCGGTCGACCACCTCTGGGGCCCGCCGGCAACCCAGGAGGAGGCGGTACTCTGACCCGGACCCCCCTCCGGGACCCCCCCTTGGCAGGGAAGGAAGAGAGACGGGAGCCGACTTCACTACGACCTTCCTTCTTGGTTTGTTCCTGAATTTCCGTGGGGCTGACGACGACGATGACGACGACAGCGCCTTCCACGCACGCCACACACACACACACACCGAGAGGCGCGGCGATGGAGGCGCAGCCTCGAGCGCGCCGAGCAGCGGCTGAGCCGCCGAGCGCCGCGCGCGAGCGCGTACGATCCGAGCCCGCGTTGGCGCGGCGCCGCGGCGCCGAGCCCGCCGTGCGGAGGTCGGGCGACCCCGCTTACGGCTTCTACAACACCGCGTGCAACGGCGACGCGCTGGAGCCCGCCCCGCAGTGCGTGCCGGTGAGCTGCGGGATGCCCCCGCTCAAGGCGGGCTCTCGTCGGTGCACGCGCTCCTGTTTCCTACTCCTCCCGCTCTTGCTCCTCTCCTCTTCTCTTCCTCCTCCTGCTCCTCCTGCTCCTCAACCTAATCCTCCTCTTCCTCCTTCTCCTCCTCCTCCTCCTCCTCCTCCTCCTCCTCCTCCTCCGCCTCCGCCTCCGCCTCCGCCTCCGCCTCCGTCTCCTCCCCCTCCTCCTCTTCCTCCTCCTGCTCCTCCGCCTCCTCCTCCTCCTCGTCCTCCTCCTCCGCCTCCGCCTCCGCCTCCGCCTCCGCCTCCTCCTCCTCCTCTCCTCCTCCTCTCCTCTCTCCTCCTCTCCTCCTCATCCTCCTCCCCTCCTCCTCCTCCTCCTCCTCCTCCTCCTCCTCCTCCTCCTCCTCCTCCGCGCGCATTAGACGGACTCACGGCGACGCTCCACCTCAACCTCTGCGCGCACCGACCTCCAGTGCCCAGATCGATCCGATTTGACGTCGATTTCGGCCAGCTTGATCCGATTCGATTCCGATGCCCAAGCGATCCGTTGCGGCCCGATGCTTGCGTGGCACCGGCGCGGCCGATCCAATTGGATTCCGAGTCCGTGCCGATGCGGCCAGCTTCGCAGCACGCTCAAGTCCGATCCGATTGGTCGCATCGGTGCTGGTGCCTCCCAGCGCCACGGAAGGCGGGGGCCTCCCACCCCCACAGGGGTCGACGAGGGGGTTCACGGGCGGCGGTGCTGCCGCCCAGGCCACGCTGCGGCACAAGAAGGCCCCGGGGCTACCAGGGATCGATCCGCAGCAACAGATCGCGCGCCACGGCGTGGTGCGCTGGAGCGTGCAAGATGGAGACGTCGACAACCTCCATTCTTGGAGCTGACGCTTGTCCATTCTGGACATTTTTGACTCCATAGAAGATTAGAATGTTCGACTGATTTCGGAACCTGTGGTGCCTATTCCTTTCATGTTCTCTTTTTAGTTACACCCGGTGATTGTAACCTTCTGGACTTTTATGTCAGCTCCCACAGGACCCTGTCATGCATACATAAACTCGGCTTGTCGGCAGCCGGGGCGTACCAGTTGACGCGGAGCGTCGATGCGAATTGCTCCGTGGCTCTCTGATAGTCGTTGCTTTGCAATCGAGCATTGTGTACGTGTTCGCTTGCGAGTTTGCGTGATGACGTGCGTGGTGTGCCAGGGTTCCCGTACGCATTGCTCATTCTCGATTTCAATGTTTGGATGGTCTTCCGACACGCATTGCCCGTCGCGGGGGGAGGGGGGATGGAGGAAAGGAGGGGGAAGAGGCAGGCTACGGGCGCTATAGCTAACATCCTACACCTCCGCCCATCTCTTCCCATTGCGCCGAGTTGTTCGTCACTATCCGCCGATAGGTGTCATAGCGGACCTGGAAACTCCAAATTGTTCCCATATCGCGCTATGCGCAATATGAAAGGGAGCTGTGTACATTGAATGGGGAGGCCACGGTTGACGAACAGGAGGATGAGCAGGAGGGAAAGGATGAGGGTGAGGATGAGGGTGAGGATGAGGATAGGAAAGGAGGAGGAGGAAGGAGGAGGAGGAGGAGGAAGGAGGAGGAAGGAGGAGGAGGAGGGGGAAGGAGGGGGAAGGAGGAGGAGGAGGAGGAGGAGGAGGAGGAGGGACAGCAGCAGCAGGACCAGGACCAGGAGGAGCGGGAGGAGCAGGAGGACCGGGGGAAGGCGGAGCAGGGGAGAGGGCGGGGCGAGCACGACAGGGAAGGACTCGGAGCCAGAAGTGTGGGCCGCGCTCGGGCGAGGGCGACGCTCTGAAGGACGGGGGCACGGCGCCGATCCTGCAATGAGAAGAGCAACTGCTGAGGAGATTTTGCACTCCTCCTCCTCGTTGAATTGCACTGTGCCGCCTACTTGTGTGACCGCTGCAATGAAGCGTCGAATGCGTATCCGAAGAACCCATGCTACAATTTCGCAAAAAAAAAAGTTTACGTACAATGGCAGAGCTTATTTTCAGCGAGTCCCCCGGGCTGGGCTTTCTGGAATCGGGAGGAGACGGCATGTACTCGTACGGGGCACGCTCTCTCACACCACCCCCAGGGCTAGAGTTAGAAGCGACACTAAATGGGGACGCGCCGCCTGGACTTGAGAGTGATGGCCATGTCGCAACGGAAGCAGAACGAGACAGTTCGGATCCCTACAGCACGGTCGACACGGACGACTTTCAGTAAGCCAGCCAATACAATTACACAGTTCGTCATTTTGAAGACATAGCCTCATTTGACAGCGATGGATTCATTTCACTGTTCTCAGCAGTTTTAGATAAATACCCCGACGGTCTAAATTCGCGTGTGGCACCACCACAAACAAATGCTTTCAATAACGAGAAAAAGCGAGTTTATGGATAGTTTCTTGGATGGTGCGGCAGTCACTTGGAAGGTTTGGGCACGATTGCTAGACAGTCACAAGCAACCACAAAGACAGCACCTCATACAGAAATCGCACAGAGCCAAGTCATCGACTGGGTTTTCGAAGCATTGTTGACATCTCAATATGGAGAATTGACAGCGGAAACAATACACCACAAACTTTGCAAACTTGGAGCAATGATCTCAAATAAACAATCATTTTGGCACTGGAGACATGGATCGAAGTTGGGGCTGTCAGGAAATGCGGCGACATGTTTGACTTGCGGATTGGCTGATATTTCTTCATATTTCTCACGCACGACTCGCGTTCGCACTTGCTTGCGATATTATTGCCATCTTGAATCAAAAGCAATACAATATTTAAAAGAGCGCTGACTGGCTACGCTCAGCACCCAACGGGGGCTGCGGCTGTCGCCTATCCGCGGCTTCCCCCCCGTCCCTTCTCTTCCTCCCCTGGTTGGGGGCCTTGGTTCCTGGCTTCGGCTGGCTCCCTCGGCTCCTCTCCCTTTTCCCCCTCCCCCCGCTCGCCGCGCGCTTTCACCCCCTCAGGGGGTGGTGGATCGATTCGGAAGGTGCGGAGGCTGCAAGAGGCCCTCAGGAGACGGCGCTGGCTCGAAGGGGGGGGGGAGAGGAGGAGCGGCCAACGTTCGATCCCCACCGGCCCAGAAGTTCGAACGTCTCCCAAAGGGGGGGGGCGCACCGCCATGCAGAAGCGGTAGCCGCCCGCCTCCTACAACGAGTGGAGTCCCCAGAGTCGGAGGCGCGCCCGAGAGGCACCCACGACTCCTGCCTTTTAGAATGCCCGTCGAGACAGCAGGGGCCCCCTGCAGCGGGGCAGCGAGGGCGCAGGCTCGCGCGACCGCGCACCTGGCGCCCCGCCTCGCCCCAGGCAGCCTCGTGGGCCGCAGATGCGGCACAGGGGGGCACGCTTCCACAATACTCCCTAGGGGCCCCTGCAGGTTCGAGAGTTGCTACAGACCAAGGACCCCCAACGGCCTTTACCTTTACCTCCTCCTCCTCCTCCTCCTCCTCCTCCTCAATATCCTCCTCCTCATTATCCTCCTCCTCGTTACCTCCTCCTCGTCCTCCTCCTCCGGCACTGCTGAAATTATAATCGATTTTGTTGCACTGGCGGTGGCTTCGGACGATGCCCTGGCTTGCCTGCATTGCGGGCTGTCCGGTGATTCTGCTTGCAGTGCCTACACGTTGTTCATGTATAATTCTTCGAAAATTAATTGATTTTTGGGGGGCCAAGATCCTTTCGTTTCTAATTGTTCCATCCTGGGCCTCTTCCTGGCCACTCGGTCAAAAATGAACGACGTGTACGTTGCGGGCTGTCCGGTAATTGTGCTTTCAGTGCCTACGTATTTCGTGGTGGCGCTCGTGAGACGCTGTGTCGACCACTTCGTCGTTTTGGCAGGCGCTCTGGTGGCCGGCTGGCAGCGATTGCAAGTGCGCAGTGCGGGCGAGTGCTGCATGGCGCAAGCAACAGGCACCTCAGCTCCCTCCTTCCAGCTTGTCCTGGAGTCAGAGGGGGAGGATGGGGGACGGGCCCGGCCAGCCCGCCGTTCAGGCGAACATGGTCGCGTCTGATCCGGAGAGAGAGCTGTTCTTCCGCGACGTCGTGACGTACACGTGCGGGGAGGGTCGCGCCCGCTTTCTTCGGTTCGAAACAGTAGAAACCACTCGCACCCAGCAGTCGTGAGAAATTGCGTCGTGCGCCTTTACTCTCTTTCGGGCCATCTGGGCCCCAACCAGGTCGGATCCGGCTCGAGACATCGGAAAATCACGAGGCGTGATGCCGTCACGGCGCAGTGGTCTCCCTCCACGGCGTCGGATGCCTGGGGACACCTGGCACCTATGGTCCTCACTACCTCGGCGGCGAGGGTCGAACCAGGGCTCGAGCCAAACGGTGTTTTTGGCGATTTCGTGACCGTCTTCGCTTCGATCCCGTTCTGCAGTAGAGGCAGAACGGGGACTGAATGAGCAGAGGCGGCCGTTGCTCGTGGCGATCGGGGCACCCCCAGAACGTTCTCGGCGAGGCGCAGGTGCTGGAGAGCGCCCCAAGGCGAGCAAAAGAACGTCCAGGAACCCGCGAAAACGTCCGAAGAAAAAACCCAACCTCCAACGTCCCCAGAGATCCGATGTCGTGATTTTTTCAATGCGGGGTCCCCAGACCAATTCCCCAGGACCGGTTTCTCATCCCGCATCGTTTCCTGATGGTCCCGGGACCATGCGGGAGCCCCTAGAGAGGCCGAAGATTGCGACAAACCCCTCCGTCTTGATGTTTTCAATTTGTTGGATCTCAGGGGTCGGAGGCAACGATTGGGGGGATGGGCATAGGGGCGATGCATCGACCCCAATCGCCCATTGGTCGCCGATGGGGGCCCGATAGCCCCAGCCTGCCCAGGAAGGTGCGGATTCACTATCGGAGGCCTATCGCCGATCTATGGGCGATGTATCGCCGATTTTAGGTCGATGCATCCCCCCTCAGCCAGTCACCCTCTATCGTTGCCCCTCATGGGGAGACACAACGAGCACGGAGAGAAAGCCTACTGTTTCTTCCGCGCCGCCTTCTTCCGAACGATTTCTTCCGAACGACTTCTTCCGGACCACTTCTTCCGGACGAGTTCTTCTGGGCCGCTTCTTCCGACGACGACTTCTTCCGGACGATCTCTTCCGGACCACTTCTTCTGGACGATTTTTGTTCGGACGGCTTCTTCCGAACGATTTCTTCCTAGCGACTTCGTGCGAAAAAT